TGGGTAATCTTTTACGATCAGAGTCTCCGAAAACGGATTGATCCGCATCCAGCGACATTCGGGCATCCCAGAATCGAACATAGTCACCTTCCGCGCCTCGATTTTTATCGGATTTATCTGTGAACCAATGAATGTCCGGTACGCCAAGAGCCAGATGGATAATAGCAATACAATGCCAGACTATCGAGATGGTGCCTCGCGTCGACGGCGTGAACCCCGGCGGAGAAAGACGCGGTCTCAGAGAGAGAGAACAGCCGATGCCATTGAAGCCTTTTGAACTTCCCTGTGGTTGTATGGCAAGAGGGGGATGCGGGATTCCGCGCAGCGAGACCTAGATGGCGAAAAACTGAGATTGCCCAGGTCCAGCTGAGCGGGGTCTTCGACTCAAGCCAGATGCACGGAGAAAAATATGTGGACATAAGACCATGTTTACAGGGATGCGATCTCCACTATCGATGCTCAGATAGAGAAAAAAAAATTCACGGCTAAAGGGCAGGATTTAGTGATTGACGAAGCCTCGCCGATAATGGAGTCATGAGGCTCGGAAAGCTTCTTCACCCGAGCTAACGGAGCGAGAGGTTCCGCGCTCTGCTTGATGTGTATTCAGCATTCTGGTTTAGGGTGTCTCGGTAGAAGAGTGACGTATTTTGCTGGGAACCCCCGCCCCCGAGTGGGGGAATTCCTCGGTTTGATCAGCCTCTGTAGCGCGCCCGAGATCATCTCGTTTTGTTGCCATGGTTTTGATGGCTTCGAATCTTATTGACTGAATGTCGCAAGCGATGCTGATTTTGGAAGCTCTCATGAAGGATCATCGTCGCTACTATCGTCGAGATGATCTTAGATCGAATATCTCATAGATAGTGATGTAATGAGGAAATGAAGATATCCTATGAGAGGAGGCGCAGCATGAGAAAGCTCATCAGTTCATTACATACGCAGAGACCGCCCGGTATTTGCAATGAGAACGGAGCAACGCGGATCCCCATCATTTGCCCTTCGCGTCGAAACGCTAGGGAAATGTCCAAGGACTCCGACAGAGGACCGACTCTGCAATGATCCCGAGAGAGCGAACATCAGGTCTGTAGCCTCTTATCGGATCGACTGCCTCTATCGGGTCGTGGAATTTTTCGAGGAGTGACGAGTGATCCTGACACTCGGAGCTGAGCTCTGACTGCGGTAAAATCCCGAACTCCGATAACAAGCGGGCCTCTCCACCTCTAGCGCATTCCTAGATCGATAACATGTGGATGAGCATGGATTTCTAATCTCCCACTGAAGTATCGCTTGAGCGTCACTGTCGCTGCGACAGATATGGATTCGCAGAAATAGGGCTATGATGACGGAGTCAATTCGACACTGCGAGAATCCTTCTGACGCCCTGCACGCGTCGAATTTCCAAAGTGTCATCTTCTGCAACTCAATGTCCGTTCTGGTCGACACTCCCACCATTGCGCTGATTTTTCCGTCTATTCCACTGTGGATTGAAGTACTGAAGAACGCTGCGCCGCCGAATTTAAAGTCTGCTCGACCCTACAGACGAAGAGTCTGGCCCATTCCCTTCATTTGATCCGGGAAATGGCAGCAACGGGGCGGGGAGCCAGATACGTAATTGGCTAAGAGTGGGAAAACAAGCAAAAAATACCGATCTGAAACACCCAAGCCGATTGGAGAGCACTCGCGACCTAATCGTCGCCGAATCTCCGGCGAAGGCGAACTCTTCGCGAGCGAAAATAACCACAGAAACTCCAGATGACTGCTCGACGCTCACTCACGAGCTCCCCTAGATCCCAAGCATGAGTCTTATCAGCTGGGCCGGCGCACTTGGCGCGCCAAATGCCGGGAGGCGACTTTTCTCTGATTCGATTTAAAACGATCGGCACGATACCAACTATATCAGGAGAGGTGTCAAATGTCGAATACTGTTCACTGTGATGATTTTTCCCATGCCACATTTATCGCAGATAAGCTTCAAGAGGGTCACTGGCTGGGATCGTCGGAAGCTAGTGTTATCGAAGGATGGCATTGAGGCGACGGCTCCTCGCCAAGCTGTGAAATAGGGGAGCGCCATTGGGAGAACGGAGGGGAATCGACCCAGATGATGTTTCACTCCGACACGATATTGCGCAGCCATTTCGCGATTACGAGAGTCTGCTAGCGACTACCAAACATCGGATAAATCGCAGTATTCAATTGCTCCCCTGGCCGATCGCTTCGATTCCTAGAGCCTCCGCTTATCCGATACTGGTATCGTAGAAAATTTGGAATCCTCGGAGCTCATTCCGAGATTGGGGCAGCAGGAGAGACGAGGCTCGGATCGATTCCAGCGATAGGCGCGAAAAGCTCCGTTTCGGTTGGAATGCCGCACCTTCTGCTATCGTGGAAATCGAAAAGTTCATCTCCTCCTCATATACCTCCATACATATTCGATGTTCTGCGACGTATTCTCGAGTTACCTTCAGAAGATGATACCCGCCGAGTTTCAAGGGAATCGAAATAAGGTTCAAAAGATTCACCATCTATCTGCGATGGAGATGCATCGGTGAGGCACCACCGAGACACGACGATCGAATCAGCTCGACGAGACTCGACCCGATGCTTCCCGGGTGTCCGCAGCATCCATCGGAAGTTTCGAGGAAGCATAAACACATATTCGGAGGAGACTATTGTAATTCATCAGAGCTCCGGAATCAAAATGAAGAATTAAAGGACATCTTGTGGGGAAGCTTGAGCTTGCGTGCGTGCGAATGAACACTTACCCGCGTCGGAAACGGCACAAGCTTGCCAGTTGAAGGTCCGGGATGATTCTGCTGCCGAAAGACTATCCGAAGACATCTCATTCACGTTCTTCCGCTTGTCTGATTGATAGATCGACCAAGTGATCCATCTGTCGGCTGAGATCTCCGCTTTCTCGTCCAGCTTTATATGGATAATATTAATCTTTTTTCTTCAAGCGAGTGAATCCCGACATTTGGCACGGAATGCTGTCATCGCTGTCGAGCGGATGTATCTGTTTTTGTCTTCTTCCTCGTACAGTCGGTCGAGTTGTCGGCTCGTGGTCCAACTGTCCAACTTTTTGCAATCGTCAGTAATACATAAATACATCCCTCATCTGTAGGGAGAGAAGGTTATCTCGTCCAGCGGCTCGCTGTTCATTTCTGATTTCCCTCGATAAGTTGAAGCAGAAAACAGGATGAAAGCTAAGAGCTGATAGGCTGGGGGGTCGGTATCAGACCCATTCCGGAAATCCCAATCCGAAGTTATATAAGCCCTGAATGCGATTGGGGGCGCTTTCGTATTCATTCTGAGAATAATTTTTCGAATCTCCGGTCTGCTCGAGACTCATCCTCGTTCCCCTTTTCCTCGTCTCTTCCGTATGTACCTCCTCCTGGTCTGAAGCATCGTTTCTCTCTGGCGGCACAGCATTTGAGCGCTCAGCAAAGTTAGATGTTAGTTTGCTTGAATGATGAACCGGTCGGCTACTTGGTCAGCTGTTTCCTTCCTGCTGTTCGACGCGGCCAGAGGGCAAGGAATATTTGAAGCTTGAGGCTTGAACTTGGTAACCCGAGATCAATCACAATTATTATCGTCTCAGTCGGCGCTGCCGGCTTACGGAGTGCTCGCCTAACACGAAAAAGCTCCGCCGATTCGTTGACTGTCTGTCTCAGTCATGCTCGTATCATTAGAACGGTAAGTACGGGCCGCGAGCTGAAGCTCAACGATCGTCAATAAATTATCACCACGCAAGAAGACCGAAAAGAATGGGCCTCCGCCGACTCTGTAAATGAGCGCTTCGATTTCACTCGAGATAAGCGCGATTTTCCCTCTATTTTGAAGCTGATACTCCTCGACTTCTTCTCTCGATATCTACGTTTCTCGTCGAAAAAATATGTCAATAATCGTCGAGGAAAAAAATCGTAATCTTTCACACCATCCTCTTGATGTACCGACTCTTAATCCGATCTTCAGCTGTCTTCCTTCCAGGGGCTTTTGTTCTGCGTAGTAGAGTCTTTCTGTTTTTCGCCATTCAAGAGATCACTTATACCGACCTCTCCCATCACTTATATCTTATATCATATCACTTATATCCATATGACTCGTGGAGTGGCAATCTCGAAGCGGATCGCGCTGCCGTCCCTTGCGTGGGTCCCCCTGAGCCGCTTTCCACGGTGTCGTCTCTCCCGCAGCAGAGCAGAACAAACATACAGAAGGAAGCGGACAGAAAATGAAAGTGTCGATTTCCATAAAAACCTGGGAAGCGCGAATGCTTTCGCGTTGTGTAATCTTGGTCAAGGAGCGAATTTTTTGCGATACCATGCTGATTGGATGATTCCTGGTACTCGTTGGAATATTCCGCGCCTCGACCCAACGATCAATGTCTCCCGAAGCGCTTTCTCTGAGCGGTGCAATTTGGGAACCGGAATGATCGAGTCGATATTCACTAGAGAGCTGATAATACGTACAGCTCTTCTTTCTCCCCTTATCTTCGCCTCAATAATTGATATCGTTATTTTCGGCGATCCTCGGTAATGCTTCAAGAGTAAGAAAAGAGCTTTTCGAGAATCGACTTATGTCCATGGAAGCGTTTCAGTGGATCAATCTTGAGCGAAGAAGAAAGGGATCGCGACATTGCTGGGTAAAAATTTGGATTCGAATCTGAAGATATGCAGTCGTGAGCAAGCCCGGAGCTGAGAAGAGGCGGTGGCGGAGGAGCCACGCGACCGATCGGCTTGATTTGCGATACGCGATCAGCTCCAGAATCCGCATGGTCGGAAAGATGGTCCATGATTCCATTAAACGGGAAAGGTCGCTCCCCGTTACACCTTCCAAGCTTTCCGAAACACACCCGTATTCAATATTTGAAAGCGCGTCGGCTGGATGAAAGATGTAAGAGGGGATGAGGAAGCGATGATTGAATCCTTCCGCTGTTGTTTCCGACCGCCTCGAACGGCTCTCGGAGGATCTGTCAACGTCGTTTTTTCGATTGAGTGATCGCGCACGCCATGTCGAGTCTTAAGAGACCGCCCATTTCGCCGAAGAGGAAGTCGAGCGGTCGGAAAACCAACAAAACATTGAAGACCTGCTCAATCAACTATCCTCGAGCCATGCGTTTCGTCTGTCGCTCGTATAACCTTTTCATGCTTCGGTCAATGATCGACCCTCAAGACACAGTCATCTCGGTCGTGCGAGGCAAAACTTGCAGAGTAATGGAGACAATCAATCAGACTTAGGTTCCCCTTATTATTTTGTTGGAATTGAAATCCCGAGTTGAAGCACAAGGCTCTGTGAATTGGGACTCAATTTCGAAGATGATCAAACAGTCGATTCCATTGCAGGTCAATCAGCAACACCTTACTACGGTGTCCGCATTGGGAAGCTCACCCAGTACTTCCACGATGTCACCGGTGAAATTTTCGCTATGGACGACAAAACTCTCTTCATCAAAGGCTTCAGCTATGATGGACAAGGACCAGGTCTGTAATAACCTTCCACAGAACATTTCTCTCTTCCATCTCCCAGGCTCCTTGGGCTGTAGGGACTTAATTCCGCCGAATATTATCGGACCGTGCAAATAAGACGGGTAACCTGATATGACCACGTTCATTTGGAATCAAGCTTGGGAAGGCTTGGAGCTTTCATGATAAGATCCACCGACAGCGTTGCTGCGGTCGGGGCCCGAAATCAATGTTTTTCTCGCCTGTTTGATGGTCAGCGAGCCGATCGGTCGAGTGTTGTTGAATATAATGCGCGAAAAGCAGACGTTGCAGCTCGCAGAAGGAAACTGTCTTCCTGACTAAGTTCTTCGATTCGCTTCGATCGCAGACGCGTACTTCTGGGCCGGTACATCGCCGAAGACGGACGGGACCGGCTTCATCATACCGGACGAACGCGGATCACTCGTCAAGTTGGGCCAGTACCGGAACAAGGATCTCGTGCTTCGTTTGCCCGATGGAAAAAATGTCCGCAATATCAAATGGATTTCCATCTGGTGCAAAAAATTCAGTGTAAGTTGAGCTCTGTGACATCGCGTCGTCGAGAACGAGGCTCGAGCTACGATCTTTTCCAGTGCTTACCGACTCGGGCCCGCAAGGCTATTTTTGGGATACTCTCGGGGTTCTGTGGCTATTATCGGAAAGATCGAATATGTAGAACAGGCTCCGGTGATATGGAACGATTCCCATGATCACCATGATCATAACCCTGGCAGCTTCTTGCCGAACACATGCTCAATAGAGACTGAGCCCAATCATAATTGACTCCATGCATAGAGGTATTAGCTCCCGTGTACTTTCTTCTTTTCTGCTGGTTGTCGCTGCTCGGCGATGGACTTTCCATGAATGACGAGCGTCTACGGTGCTGCTTTCGGGCGAGAGAATTTATGTCACACCGAGCCTTTGATCGGGGATTTCTGTGGTGCGGGTTGCGAAAAGATGTGAGGGACCGAAAGGTGCTGGATGGCGAAAAATTGAGGAGCCGGCATGGAGCACCCTGCCTGGAACCCACAGACAATAGAGTAATACGTTCCCCCGTGGAGCTCCGCTCAGTGTGGCGGAGATGCGAAAAGATTGTACGGAAGAAAAAACTGACGGATGATTCTAGTTCAATGGTTTTTTCCAACCGAATGCACATTCCTGCACTCGCGTTCGTTTTCGCGCGCGCTTTTGCCGCTTTCTTCACTCACGAGCGCACTGTAATCAATGGCTTATCTCTCGGCTCAGGGAAAATGTTATCTCGACAATTATCTCTCGGCGTGTTGCCGAAGATCTTTTGGGTCACGGGGCGCGGAATGAGAATAGTGTCCCTTGGCGGAAGTCCGTGGCGCTCCTTATCCGAATCGGACGTGGTTGAACAAAGAGAAGATCTCCCGAATTTTTTCAAGCTTCGCTTCCCGACCTGAGCAATGCTCGGAGTTCAAGAAGTATTGACGGCTTGAAGCTGACGATTCTGATTTTCAGGCTAACTTCGCGGATCTGTACATACCGAGAAATCTCCAGATCCCCAAAGCTGTCACCGTTGAAAAACTTCCTACATGGGACCACGGCGTTACGTCAGGACCTGTGACGATAATCGATTCTCAAACATTCTTAGTACCCGGCGTCATGTATGACGGACTTGGACCCGGTAAGACAACTACGAGGAGGCCTTTCAGAGGTATAACCAGACCCCAAAGAGTTCCCAAACTCAGGAGCGCTACGAGAACGCATTTATCCACGAGTCCCCCTCCTTTGACAAACTTCTCGTATTTCCGACTTGGTCCTCCGAACAAGTATGTTGAAGGCCAGAGTGCCTGAATGCCTCGCCCAGTCGGATACGATTTTCAAACAATCAGGACTTCATCCCGAGTGACTTGAGCGATTGATCGACGAACCGATCTATGTTTTATATGAAGCCTTTGAGAAGCCACCTGAATTCGGAGACTTCTTGCTCAGGCCAGACACAGAGACGAAAGAATTCAGTGTTCGGTCGCTTCAATTGTTTTCGAGTCTCCGTGGAATCCAAAGTCGCAGGTCTTCTCGCGCAGTCGGATCATATTGCGTGCCCAAATAAAAATATAGGGAGGCGGAAGTCGTTGTTTTCACTCATTTCCTGCAACCGCAAGATTCTACTCAGATTATTTGCAGCTGCATACTGGTGGGTATCTCGTGGTGAACGGAATCATCGAGGAGGCCTTCGTCTCGCTGACGAGAACGGAAGGTTAGTCGCTAATACGTATACTTCTCGGTAATTCGCAATGAAAAGGGTGGGCTCGGACGGATCTCTCGATCCGCTCCGATGAGCACGCCCAATTCTCGGACCCCCTCCTTCGCGGAATTTCATTGATTCGGTAGAGTCTCTGGGTGTCAAACAGATTGATCCATATCCACATCGTCATTTCGATGTACATAGACTCCTGAGCAGGCCTGATCGCTGGGTGCCGTGTGAGACGACCCGACTGCACAGAGAATTTCGTTTCCAATCCTCACATGGATGTGCATGTCATGCGGCTCTCTCAATTCATTTTTTCGCGAGATATAAATCAGAAATATCCGATTCTCGAAATATAGGTATCCTTCGGTTTAATCGCGGAGCGCTCATGAATTGTTCCACTTATCATTCCACCATCGCAGCTCGGATCCTTTGCCGCGCTACACGGGGAAGACGGTCGTGATCAGTCTGCCGGATGGATATTCTGTCTACGACTTCGATCGTTTCGGAATCTACTGCGAACTTGCCGATGTTGACTTCGGCTCGATAAAGATCCCGCACAATGTCAAAGTGCCTCCATCTCAACGGGCGCTCGGTATCCAGATTCCGGTGAGTTCTCGCGGCGCTGACCGCAAATAGATCGCGGAGGTTCAGTATGAAGCATCAAACGCATTGGATTTTCGAACGCATTCACTGTCATCAGAAAGGAACAAATTCATAGAGACACTCTGCATTTTTGTTCTCGACAATCCGGAAAGTTCATCTCTGTCATCAGATTCTGGTCTGATGCTTCCGAGAGTCTCAGACTGCGGGAGCCATTCTCCCCGTCGGTCTAGGATCGTTTTGAAGCGTTACCTGGAGCCGATTGTGATCCGTAATGGTCAAAAAGGTGTAGTGGCGAGAGCGCGTCACAGCGTTGAAACAGAACCACGCTGCTGACCCGCGAAGCAGGGAAAGATGAGCTTTTCTGTTTTTTCTTCATTAAAACAAAAACTCGATGAAGAGTGGTCTCGCTCTGAAAAAAAAGACGATGGGTTTGTATGATACGATACCATTCGATCGAGTATCGGTATATCGACCTCTTTCTCCTGAAAACATACCTCGCTCCTCGGTTTCTGGTGGCTGGTGTTGTAATTTCGTGTTCACTCCTGGTCTTGCGCTCTCCTTTCTGCCCCTCTCTTTCCGGTTCAGCACCTGGTATAGCATCGCGCTACGGAATAGGGTTGTGCATTTACCGTCCTTGATAAGAATCACACATCAATTAATCGAGAAACTCTTAGTTCCTCGATTGAATTGAATATCCCAACAAACTGACTAGATGGCTCGAATTACCTCCTTCCCTTCTCCCTACCTCTGTACTCTGTACGGAGCTAACTTGGGTTTCTGGGGTGCTCGACTGGGTTGGCCCTGACGGGACGCTACCTGAGTTGTAGTCGTTGACCTGTTCCTTTCTGAATGTACCTTGCTGTTTTCTGGCATCGTTGGTCCCCGACGGTAACAACCAATACGTGTACTAATGAGGAAACTATGTTGTGTGTGTGAAGCCCAACCCCAGCCCAGCGACCGGAGAAGATGTTTCGACCGACGACAACTCTGCGGATTCTTCGCAGAACAAACTCAACTGCGAGATTCTGCATGATCCGATGGGCCTCGAACTTCGTTGGATCATGGACGGCGACGAGATCATCATGCAGCTCGTCGGCCGCGTCGGTAAGTATCGAAAACAATCAAAGTAGGATTTCGATATTCGGTAACGAGGTCTTGATTGAGGTTCGAACCCTGACGCGAATTCACTCCCCCTTCCGCGGCCGGACCCCACAGAGGTTGGCGATTACATGGCTTTCGGTTTGAGCAAGGACGACACCAAGACCAAAATGGTGGGATCGGACGCCGTCGTGACGTGGATTGATCATCAGGGACGTGGTCACGCCGTAGACTATTACCTTGGTTCGAAGGAACAGGTACTCTTCGATTCATGATTTCCAACGATCTCCACAATGAGCATATTAGTTGAATCTCTAATTTCTTTCATCTTTTGACAGTGCGTCGGAAACCGCGGTGCCTGTCCGGACATCAAACAACGAGGAGCTCGCGATAGCGTGACGGTTCTCAATACCGCCGTCGTGAATGGATATCATATGATAACCTACAAAAGACCTCAAGTTGCTCGTAAGTTCGTCGAGAAAAATATCCCGATGGATTCGGGTCACGGACGCTCTGCGAGGCCACAGTCCCATGATTTATATTTGAAGACGTTAAAGGTTTTAATTGCTAGCTTCTATTCATTGATTTGCGTTTCAGTTGATGAGAAATACGATCAACACGTGTATTCTGACGGCCCTCAAGCCGTAGTCTGGGCCCTTGGACCCATCAACGGCAAGGGTGAAGTGTCTTACCATAAACTGCGAACCCAGGGAGATCTTTTCGTTGATTTCGCCCGAGCACCTCAGTGGAACTGCCCACGTCCGGACGATATATCCACTTCGAATGAAGCCAGCACCGTAGTGCAAGCCCCTCGTGAGTTGAACTCGGGGTCTTAGATCGTCTCGTGAATCATGCCCGTCATGTGAATCCCGCGAAGATCTCGCGATGTTCAGAGCGCATTCACCGCGAGTGAATCTCCGGCAAATAAGAATGATTCCTCGGCAGGAAAACCTCATTTGCACAATGATCGGCATCCTCGCCCATGTTTTGGACATAGAGTTGCAGCCTTTCTCTTTTTGAAACGGCCAAGCTTGCCTGAATTTTTTCTCCCTCCACAGTTCAGAAGTCCGCCAGCGCAGTTCAGCCATGGGTCGTGCCTCCGGTGGTCTGCCCTGCTGACAACAAGTTCTACGCCCAGATCGGCCCCGCCGGCGGCAAAAAAGGCTATCAAGCGATTACCGGAAACGTCGGATGGGGTATTGCGTGGTATATCAACGGACTCATGATTCCTGAGCTCTACGTTCAGCGAGGAGTCACGTATACATTCATCATTGAGGGAGGAAACAATAAAACGCATACCTCAAAAAATCATCCCTTCTACATCACGTCCGACCCCATCGGCGGTTATGAGCACAAGAACCAAGCGGAACGAAGGGTGAGCTCCATTCTGAAATTCTGTCTGCATCTGGAGCGAGCTTTCGAGCTACACCTCATGTTTTCTGTATCCATAATCCTTGAGCAAGAGTTGTGACTCATTTTCATCGACCTTTGCAGAAGGAAAAAGTCTTCGCCGGGGTCACTCTGGATCGCAGTGGTAAAGCAACGCCCACCGCAAGTAAGCCGCCTGCCATTCCATAATTACCTTGTGCTTGAATCCCATGATTTTTCTCGCTAATGAATTAAATTCGTTCTCAAGAGCTCTCTGTCCATTCCGAGCCTACAGAATCACTTATTTTCTTACAGAGGGCCGACTCTGCAACTACGAGTATCCCTTCAGCCGAACGGAACTCCCGGACGACTTCGCCACATTCGAAGACTTCGCCGCCAATCTTGAAATCAAATGCCAAAACGGGCGACCTGCTTATCTGCAATGGACTCCCGACCAATTTACGCCGGATCTCGTATACTATCAAGTGAGTCTCATCAGCCGAACATTGGCATCTTCGCTCGAAGCTCGAGGTGCAGAAGATTTATTCTTCCTCGATCCAATCGGCTTATGGAGGCGATAATCGAGTGTAAATCCTTCTCAGTGCTACACTCATCGACACCTCGGATGGAAGATCCACGTCGTCGACAGCTGCGCGGATCTCGTTCAACCAAAGGCGGCAGCCTCGCACCGCAACGAAGTTCGCATTCCATCGCCCCAAGGTTTCCACAAGACGGTGCAGAAAAAGATCGTGAAAAAGAAAGCCGCTAAACACTACTCTTCGGTGTCCTACAGAAACCAAAAAGTTCTCGCACTTGACAACATCACAGATCTGATCCTGAACAAACCTTTGAAGAAAGTTCCGAGGCACTACTCGGTCCGCATGGAGTCAGGATTCCGTCCTGTAACGCTGCCCCCCAAAGGACTTCCCGATCCCACGACGCCGCGTCCTGGACTCGGTCTTGCCCCTCTTCCGTTCCTGCGGAAAGACCCTCTGCCGTTCCAGGGTAGTTTCAAGCCGGGAGTCCCTCATTTCGGAGGTTTTAACATCTCATACACAATGAGCAAGGAGCCCGCAGGTCCGATTCCGGGACTTCCACAGGTTCCCAAGGGCGCCCTAACAAAAATCGACGGATTTCTTGACGAGGACCGCATGGCCCGCATGGTCAGGACGCACCGCGCGAGTCGACAACGTCGATCGGCGCTCCGGGAAGAAAACGAAATTGTTCCCAGAAGCTTCGTTCGCGCACCGCGGAAAACTCTGATAGTACCGCAAGAAGTTTCATCACAGAGAGCTACGAATACTCAATACGGAATCCTCGATCATGTCCTCAGTCTCATTGCATCTGATGCCGATCCTTCGAATCTCGCCTGATTGCCAAGAACGTAGTACTCATCACACACCTTTCCATTGACACGCTCAAATGACCAGCGCTCCTCCACTCGCGTTCCTCTCTATGTCTTCTTCTGGACTTCGGCTTGGAGACCTCGTTTAGACTCCTCGACTGCTCGTCGAAAAGTATCTTTCTTCCTCCGCTGACAGCTGCCGTCATGTGATGATCATCGATGCCTCAAGAATCATAATTACCTATTTAAATGGGAGATACTCTCCGCGACCTGCCCTCATCTCTATCATTTCCTAAGCGAAGCGATCTTCCTCACTCTCAGATGTGTTCAATGTTATTTATAAGGAATCGGTGTCAATGTTGAAGCCGGGTCGAATGTTCCACACAACTACGCTGAGAACCATCACATCTGGAGCATTTGATTCTCTCATCTGATATAGCTCAGACAATCGGTGTCGTTCGACCTTCCGATGATCGAGGCGAGCCGCATCCCGAGTACTTGTTTGATTGTTTGTTACCAAATGACGATCACGAATAAATAAGAACAATATATATACATGGAAACATTATTAGAGGAAATTTTCCGTGATTGGAATAAGCTTAAGCAGTCCGTACTAGCGGCAGTCTGACTCGCCCTTTCTGGGTACGGCTGGAGTTTACCCTGTGCGTCTATAATATTGGCAGCTATCTCTGAGCGGTTTCCGCTGAGCTTCGCTGCGCCGGCCCGTCAGCGTTGAGCTGAGTTAGGACTTGGCGGCGCTCGGCGGGACCGTGCGACATACCTCTGTACTGCAGTGGCGTGTCCCTGTCGTATTCTCCGTCTCAGCCGTCTCCCTCGTTTTAATTAATCCTTTTGCTTCTCTCTCATCACAACTCGTCTTCTGCGTCGGCCCTCCGCGGGACAGACCTAAAGAGCAGTGGCGGATCCAAGGAGGGGAAGGGGCTCAAGGGGTCCGACTACATATACTCCCATTTTGAACAGGACCCAGGTATCGACGCCCCCTCCCCCCTCCCCTCTCCCATTCGATACATTGATCGCCCCCCCCCCCCCAAATCCCATTCGATACATTGACCGCCCCCTGCTCGGAGGATTCCGGCATCCGCCGAAGCCACGCAGAGTTTCAATGAAAGGAATGTCTACGCGTTCTAGTCTTATGTCTGATTCCTCCGAGGTCAGGTGCCGCATGCCGCGAGGGCTCTCGTCTGAATTGAATAAATGGAAGTCTGATCTCCAGCTAGAACTGGAAGTATCATCTGCTGTCGGTGGTGCTCATGAGGAGAAAAACCAGCGACGTCTTCCAGATCCATTAGAGTCGTCCGCCGCTCTGAGGAACTCATTGCGATCGAACAGCGCGCCAGATCGCTATCGGCTGATTCTGCGGGTGGTTTTGGCGGTATCGCCGAGGGGAAAACGGGGGACACTCGGGGGAGTGCCGGGTATGGGGAGGGAGTGCGCACTCTTTGGCGCATGCGTCATCTCCAGCACCCAGCAAACATGTCCGCCGTCTGCTAGTCCCGAAGTCGGCGAAGAAGAGCTTCACACGAATGAGGGAATCGTGTTGGCGAAAATTGTGAGCCGCTATGAATTTGATAAGGCATGGAGCTGCTGACCGCTAAAGTTGAAGGTGAGCTTCCGATTTCTCGAATGAGACTGTAGATCCGACGGATACTCGAGCCTTCCGAGATCGATTTTGTAACGTCAACCGTGAATTTTGAAAGCTAATGCAATATTCATTGTGTTCATTATGGATCGGAGAATCCAATAGGATTTTAATTATTCATGGACGAGTTGATTCGTCTCATCGCCGAGGAATCGCTGCGACAAAAGAACTCTCTGGGTAACTGTTGCTTCCTAAAATCGTTTTCGGAGTTTCGAGACTTCCCACCCCTCTTGTCGATGCTTCACGACAGGACTCCTGCAATACCTCTTGGTCGTGCTGTGAATCTACAGGACGTCAATCAACGCCAGAAACGAACGTCATGTGTGCTCCGAGAGTGTTTCGAGAAAGAGAGAAACGTCTGGCGGACGCACATATTTGCGAGCCGGCTCCGGTCAGTGACTAGATTCCATACATACACACGAGAGCCGAGGAACTCAACGCAAGTCGTCGCATTAGTCGGGAGGAATCTTCTTCCATTAGAAAGGAGCTTGTGAGGAATAATTTCCACAACTCAATTTACTGAGTTTACTCTGGATGAGAAGAAGATAGGCTCAAGCCCACGAAGCCTCAAGCGCTCGCATCTGATTCGTCTCCTCCTCGGATGTCTCTTTGACTAGCGTTGCTGCCGTATCGTTCCATTTGACCCACGTTCATAAAAGCCGGAAACGGGCTTGTTCGCACGCCCAAAATGAGATCCATACGGTGGACTCCGTGGCTTTTAAAATGTGATGTCGGCTCCGCGTTAGAAGCTCTCTTCCGTGGTCGGACATCGCGGGAGAAATTTGGTTTCACGGAGCTCGATGTCGAAGCATGCACGGATATTCTAATAGGAGGGAGTTTTTTCTCCGCTTCCGCCGGCAATGAACACACACAAAATCATCAATGAGCGGACAGCCATTTCGAAGTCGTACGGCAGCGGCTTCGATCGAAGCGATCGTGAACAAGGTCGCTACGGGCCCAGCGGGTGTCCGCTACGCTGATAGAGAATATCCTTGGAAAGTAAGATGTCACGAGATACGACGGGAGAAAAAGAACCCAGGACTCATCTCTCGTGGGCTGCGGGTGATCACCTGTTCAGTGCAGGAAACCTCAAAGTCACTGCGGGAAGCGTCGGTGGTATAGTGGTGAGCATAGCTGCCTTCCAAGCAGTTGACCCGGGTTCGATTCCCGGCCGACGCAGATTTTTTTTGGCGAATGACGTCTGTGCTGACGTGCCATCCCGAGACGGATGTAGCCGCTAGGGTTGAATATTCGCATTCCTGTCAGGCAATCGAAAGCGTTGCTCGAAGGAACTCCCACCAGACATCATTGGCTGAAAGTTTTGCTCCCGATCCGAGTATCGAGGCTTCGTGTGTGGACGTCGGTAGCGATTGGCATATGAACTTATATGCACAATAATTGAGCTCAGTGACGTCAGGAACCATGACTGCTCATTATGAGCGCGGATTTCAGATGACATAGTCTAAAAATATCGATCGTCGACCTTGGACGTTGAGAGCATGAGGACGAACTTGGATCGCTCGATTCTGGGCTCTGACAAACAAGCGCCTCTGCGAATCGCTATCTATTTCATTCGCGTCGTGGGTTCGTCGAAGGAGCTCGAAGCCGGCCAGTTTGGCGAGGGGTTCTCGATGAGCTACGGTCAGATCCGAATCGCCAGGGTTCGCGTCTACTGGCTGCCCAGCGACCGAGTTTTTCAAAACAAGCTAATTTCGTCTCGTGATACCGCATCGAGATTCGAGGATTCCGTAACAAGAGCAGAAAATTGTGAGGGCACCCGACCTTTCATGTATCATTGCTGTGATTCCAGGCATGGAATGGTGGATAAAATAGAGATTAGGATGACGATAGCTCCCACTCGTAATTGGACGGGTGGCATCTAGCTTCTCAAGCGCGATCCGATGGGATCATATCGAGCGGGTCGCTTGAACTCCCACGTTCGTCTTGACTCGGAGCTCGGTATCGAACGTCTGGTCGAGAGCCGGAGATTTTTCCATTGTCAAGTATTCCTTCTCGTCGCCGTCTCCGAGCTATCAACAGAGCTACGCCCACAAGAGGAAGTTGTTCTTTATGCTGGGCGCGGACGATCGAAGGCGAGAAGAAGGATCATAGCAGCGATAGAGTGAGAAGTAGCGATGAGTTTCTATAAGAAGACAAGGCCGAAGTAGGGCGTGGGACGAGCCTTACTGCCGTCTGAATACCTGAACATGGATGACCGGCCGTACTAGCTGGCGGACTAAATGAAGTATCAGTGGAGAACGTTGCCCTCTGGAGACGGCCTATCTCCGGCCACTTGTCACGGAACACTCCGCCCTTGGCTTTTCCGGAATTCTCAGCCGACTTTCAACCATGACCATTGATGACCAGCGGAGATGAGACTCCGATAATTCCTTTTTTTCGTTGCCAATTTCCTTTGAAACCGAGTGTTTATTTTTCAGCATAGGTTCGGAAGCCGGGCTCGCGCGATAGGCTCGGATGCCAGGGCCTAGTTGCAGGGCAGAAACTAAGTTAGAACTGCACGTAACGCCAGGTGATGGGACTAGCACAAGCTGTAGCGCAAACAGTAGCAGTGACATTCACCAGCAGCAGCAGCAGTCGCAGCATCATCACCACCTGCAACTCCAAGGGCATGGATATCCACGCGAGGATGCAATGGCTCGATCGCCCAGTCATGAGTCGTTCGCCACGGATCTCTCACTGCTCTCCCTCTCAAGGTTAGGAGTTAGGAGCAGAGTTCGGGTGTCCGGCTCCCATGGGAACGAATTCCCTTCGAATATTCGGTTGGGGAGAATCATCAATGTCATACATGCAGGGAAAGATTAGAGGGGTCCATGTCGAGCGTAGGAAGGTTGATAATATTTTCTGTTGCTCCAACGCAGCTCGGGCTCGGATGTAAGTCGCTTCAGAATCGGGCTGATGTCGATTTCACGAGTTACCTCGGCCGATCGCGAGGAACAGGTGGCGCCGCTGATACACGTGCATGATGCGGCTCCAACTGCCACGACGCCCACCAGCTCCGGCAGACAGCATCATCATCATCACCACCATCCGCTCGCATCGAATCGGAACAGCTTGCAGGTAAACTGCCGGATCAGTGTTCTCGAATCCCGATCAACATCAAGATTCCGGACCGACTAATTGAAATTGGTTTCCGCGATCCAGGTTCCGGGGGAATCCTACGGGAATTCTCGAAGTCAAGACGCACTGTTCGAAGAGGAGTCGGACGTCATTAGGAATTGTTCGGTTTTGTCCTCCGCTGTTCTAGGTCTCATGAAAAGTTTCTCTACGGGTGATATATCGAGCTCGTTCGAATTCACTGAGCCGTTGAGGAATACCGTATCGGAGGAAATACTCTGTGCCAACGCTTGGGCAACCTTTGAGGTGAGTGACGTTCTCGTTTTTCATCGATCACCGAGGCGGATTAGGCTTTATGCAGGAATCGCTCATCCCAACCTGCAAACTTGAGCCATTATGGGCGGTCTGCGACCACAACTCGGTGTCTTCCTCCGTTTTTCCGGCGGTCGAGAGAGACATCCGACGGGAGAAATATTTGTTTTTGGCGAGAACCCGCAGCTCCAGAAACTCATATGCATAGTAATGGCTCGGTTCGCGGCCGAGTATGCCCTGGAACTTAGGAAATTACCCGCGCCAGTGCTTCCTTGAATAATTCCTTGAGGATGGTCTCGACAAAGTCGAATGCTCTGGACTCTAAACTCGGCAGTCCAGAGTCTAGACGAGACCTCAGGTCTTGGCTTGATGCTTCGGGGCCGAATCCAGAGCCCGCGGGCTGCTTGAGACAAGCGGAGAATTTAAAGGAGCCGAGGAGCCTTCAGAGATGAATGTGTTTTGTCCCAGAGACGGAGAAAGTTTGACGACGACAAAGCGAAAGTTCCAGGTTCCTGCAAATCGACGACTTGACTGCACGTCAAGGTCGTGCAGTACGTGGGTTGCTGTGGGAGATATGCAGTCTTCGACCAGTCAACTCCCATCTCCGTCCACGCGATGTGGTTCTGGCAATATTTCAGGTTGGTGCCATTCAAACAACTATGCCCGCCTTCATTGTGACGTATTTCCAGTGCTGTGAGAATAGCGGGGAGCTCTCTCGTGGCGACCTGGAGGTGTTTTGCGCGCAGCTGCGGCGACGGGAGCAGTGGAAAAAGAGGAAGAGCACCCCACCAAAACGAAAATCCTATGAATTCGCATGACCTGCATGCAGAGTTTCCCGGCCAAGAAGCAGGAAGCAAAAGGCGGGCTCGTCCGGGATTTGAACCCGGGACCTCTCGC